GTGTTGTTACCGCCACAATTTTGGACCATCCTTGTTGCCTCCATAAAAAGGAAGCGAGAGAGGGAGAGCGAGAGGAGAGACAGTTCGACGAAAGACACTCCTATCTGATTCAGATGCAGCGAGAGAGGGCACTTGGGTACGGACCAAGCCTGCCCCCGATCCCCGGAGCACTGAAAACAGAAGAAGCTCAAGCAAAGCATGTTGGTCGAAGTGGAAGAAGCAAAGGGCATCTGGTTCATCAACGATCACAACTACGATAGTTGGGTATTCGACGACACAATCCAGGACCCGAAGTGGTTATGGATGACACTAACATCAACCCAGCATCCAAACAACCTGATGTGTTCCCACCTTCAGACAGCAGATGACACGCAGTGGGTGCCATGAAGGTGACGGGAATCCCACGTAAATTCCACACTGATTTTCCTACAGCTCCAGTAAAGAGTAAAACACAAATAGCAGTTAGTGCATGAATTTTCATATTGAAAAAAAGGAAAGAAGGTTCCCACACAAAGGCACTAGCACAAAAAAAAAGGTTGAAAAGTCTACTGTTTGAAAAATAGCAAAACAACTCGTAACACCAAGAGCTAATCCAAAATCACCTACTCAATTCACAATCATTGCTTTAATAGCTGCTTTATTTGCTTGAAAGTTGAAATCGTGTAAACCAAAAAGTCCGCAATGAGAAGCACAAGTTATTTTAGTTATCCAACCGCATGGTTGGAGACATCCAAATTAACGAACTCACCCGGTGATCGACCCACGTGCAATCAAGGAAGAAAAAAAGCACGAGGATCTGTTGTGGGACATGGAAACAATAAGAAATCAGACAGCTGAAGCATGTGAAAACACAGACTTGGATAACAACATGCTGCTCCTTGAAGCAAAACAGATCCTGGAGCACCGACACCCCAAACCGGACAGCTCTTCCGCACTCAAGATAAACGCTTCCCCTCCCCAAAAAGAGAGCCAAGAAGATAGAGCTGGGAAGAAGAGGAGCAGCATGGAAGGAAAGGGGAAAATTCTGAGAGTCGAACACCAGAGCAAATATTTCCACAGAGCTCCCAGTGGGGGTTCACACTATTCCACCACGACAGCCATCAGGGGAGGGTAAGGACTCAGACTCATCAATCCACACCCTGTTCAATCCCATCTTGATCAAGCTTGAGGGAGAAGAAAAACTCAGCGAAGGCCCGACCTGGAGGGCATGGAACACGATCACAGCACTGCCATACAATGTGTTGCACGGAATGTCCTGCTCAACGAAAATCATTGCCGAGTCGTTAGCAGATATCATCAGGACCCACCTCTTGACCTCAAGGAGCTCATTGCAAGATGAGGCCACTACTATGGATATGGACATAGGGAAAGAAAAAGACGACATGGAGGAAGACCAGGAGCTGGGACTGGACAATATGATCTCCGCTGGCGGAGACAACAAACGACCACTCACTTCGACGGAAAGCAGAACTTGAGCATACGACATGGGATGATCCATATCAAGGAGGGAGAGTAGGGATTCAGACACTGAGAGCAAGACCGACGCTGCAGTGGACTGACGACCTCACCCCCACCGATAACTAAACCCTGTCCACACACACCGAAACAAAACCGCAAAACACAAATCAATAGGCAACCAAAAGGAAAGAAAAAAAAAAAAAAAAAAAAAAAAAGAACAAGGTGCAAGGAGAGAAACGAGGTACCAGTCAATGCCAAGCCCCACGGAAACCAGAAATGATCAAGGCAGTCCACCCACGATTAACTGGCACGCCAGGGGTCTCCAAATAGTAAGCCGGAATGTCAACGGTCTAGGAAACATTGTAGCCGAAGAAGACAAAATCAGAGATATCAGGATGGGCCTGGTGGGGAAGAACTATCCCAAACCCGATCTGATACTTCCCCAAGAGACCCATCTGTCCAATCTGAACAATCACACCAGAATACAGGAAAGGGTAGAGAAAACAGCAGGGGGATGTGCATTCACATATGGTCTAGCAAAGATGGCCAAAGCGATAAAGGGACTGCAATCCTCATACCAAGAACATCCAAGATTCTGACCGAAGGCCAGATCCTGAACAGCGAGGGTGACAGCGAGGAAGGTAGATGGTCATGGTTAGTCACAAGATGGCAACAAGAAGACCTGAGAATTCTCAAACTATACGCAACTAACGCGGAACCCGAAAGACTGACCTTCTTTGAGAACATTAAAACCTTCATCCCCAACCCGCAACCGGTAATCGTCGCTGGAGACTGGAACACGACCCTGGACCCCAACCTGGACCGGATCTCAAGGACAGTACTAATGGGTCCCACAAGAGCGGGAACCCAGATACGAAATCTGATGACAAAATTTGAACTCATGGATCCCCTGAGGGCACTGCATCCAGATAAAAAAAGTCTTCTCCCGGATAAAAAAGACTACTTCCTTGTATCTGAAAGCTTTCACGGTGCAGTCAAAGAAGCTGAAATTCATCCATCTGCAGCATTCAAAGGACTGGACCATAAACCCATTCACTTGCTACTCAATTTCAGTTCACCAGTCAAACCAGATCAGGGATTTTTCAGGCTGAACAACTCCCTCTTCACAACCAAGAGGCTGTCTGCGGCAGTCAAAGAAAATTGGTCTTCCCCAAACAGCTGCAAGGAAGATCAGCATTAGCGAACTCCAGCAATCAAACAGCATCATACATATGTGTCCAGATAGTCTTGACCTCGAACCAACAGCAGTCATGCATCACGAGATTCACCAAATCAGAACACACCAATAGTTCGTAATTGACAATGCTGAAATAGTCTCTCATCATCATCAACGAAGAACAAGAGTTSATATCCTATTGRCGCTCGGCGCCCAGACTACTTGTGGCAGATCCTATCTAGCCTAATACTACAATGCCGATGTTGACAACAACAGCTCCCTGAAGTACGAGCATACAGCGGACAATGCCGCACCCTTCCAGCACCAGGTATGTCTCTCGTAACACTCACAACCTCTATCCACACCGCACAGATGCCACTTGCACCCAAGGACCACCCTGCGTCACATCCAGCCTACAGCGGAGCAGCTCGGCTATGAGAGCGTGAGAGCGTGAGTGCCAGCCAGCCAGCAATGAGCGTAGCAGCGCTTGCGCAGCATGCAGCCAGCACCCGAATGTCGAATAAGGAGGCAGGCCCTTCCCTATATCAAAGTGGCCTGCCTGCATCCAGTCCAGGAAGCTTCCGGTAGGCCCCGGTAGGCACAGGCCCAGTCACGAAGAGAGCAGGCCTTGGGCCTGAAGTGGTTGCATGCGCCCAACTGCTTTTGGCCTGTGTTTGGCCCGGTACCCGTATCCAGCCCAGGGCCTGCTTCACATTCATTTACACAGGCGGCCCAGGGCCTGGATTCATTCAACCAACTGGCGCAACGCAACTGCCTGAATTTCCCCGATGCGGGGTACCCTGAAGAATGAGGCCCGAAGGGCCTGTCGTGCCTGCCTTCACTTAGGGCGGCCGACCTTGTTGCAAATAGGGCCCCATAGGGGCTAAGCGGGCGTAGCCTCTCACAGCGAGATCTTGGACAGACAAATAGATACCAATGGTTCGCTCATACTACTATAGACAGTTACGCAGAACTAACGAGAACAGTATCAGCAGAATCACGAGGTATAGATGGAGGCCGCAAGAGGAGAAGGGAGGAACTCCAAATCACCATCTCAGTCGCAAAATCTGGTAGAGGACCCCTCTAGCGATTTCTACCAGGACTGCTGATTCCAAAGAAAAACTAAGCGAATGGAGAAGATGGGAGCTGAGAGGACTGCAATTACGTGCAAGGATGATGGACTATACACTCAACGAATCCATAACTAAATTCTTTTTCTCCAGAATCAAAGCAAATGCAAGGAACAACACGATAGAGGGCCTCAAAGACCCAATAGATCAAGGGAACATCAAAACAGAACGTTCAGAGATGGTAAGGATACCCAGGGCATTCTACGCAGACCTCTACGAATCAAAGACACCCTCACCCCCGACCCGTCAACTCATGTTGTCATACCTTTACAAGACGATCTCGACAACCCAAGCGGAGGGCATGGACAAGCCCCTAACCCAAGCTGAGCTACACATAGCCCTGACCCAAATGGGAGGTGACAAAGCTCCGGGCATCGACGGCTTCTCAAAAGAATTTTGGAGCTGCTTCTGGCCGACCCTAGGAGAGGACCTGCTCGAGTTTTTCAAGGACAGCAGGCAAAAAGGAGGCCTAGGCAATGAACTAACCGCCCGTGTGGCATCATTGTTGCATAAGAAAAGAGACAAAGAAGACCTAAAGAACTACAGACCCATATCACTACTCACCACCCCCTACAAAATCCTCGCTAAGGCTCTGGCAAATAGAATCACAAAACTAACAAACAAATGCTTTCACATAAACCAAGCAGGCTTCATCATGGGCTGGTACATACTAGACAACGTGATGACGTCGAATGAGGCAGCAAAGAAGATCGCAGAAAAACGAATGAAGGCTGCAATCTTGCTTTTTGACTTCGAAAAGGCCTACGATCAAGTCAATTGGGATTGGGGGTAGGCCTGAACTTCAGGGATTGGGTGAAATTCTTGTATTCAAACGCAACAGGCAGAGTCCAGGTCAAAAGGATGCTATCAGAGACCTTCCCGATATGAAGATCGGGACAATGCAACCCATTGACTCCACCCATATTCCTCTTCATTATGGAAGCCATAGCCTCCTTCCTTCGGAAAGACCCATCCATCCACCAGTTCACAGACCCCTACTATTCACCCAAACGCAATACACTGCAATCGTGGCAGGTTTCAGACGGAAATGGTTGGTGGGCCCAAAAAGAATGGATTGAAAGCGAAATCGAAAAAAAAATAAAAAATAAAAAAAATCAGAAATTGGGCTTGACTGCATTATTTACTCAGACGTCCTACCTTGTTGGCAGGGCACTAATCTTAGAAAGAAACAAAAGGAAAACAAAGACAGATTTCGATGTAATATCCATCCGATACATTCTCGAACGTAGTAGTGTGAGTATGCCCTGAGTGCCCTGAGTGAGGGCATTCCCAACAATGTAAATAGGAAAAAAAGAAAAAAGAAAACAAAGGAATAAAAGATATGGCCATGATACCGGTCAGACACAGTCTGGAAAGTACTAGTGTGAGTATGCCCTCAGTGAGGGTCTTTCTTGAGAAGGTGGAATACGCCCTGCCTCTATGGCAGGGCACTGCAAGAAAGAAGAGGGAAAAAAAAGAAAAAAAAAAAAGACAATGATTTGGCCGTGATAGTGGTCAGATACATTCTGGACAGTACTATTGTGAGTGTGCCCTGGGTCAGATGGCTTCCCCCACATCTCTTTTCTCTTTCTTTCATGAAACAGGAACACCCTTTGTTCATCATTGATCTGGATTTAGTTTGTTTGTTTTTTTTTCATTCGTCTTTTTGGTGCCATCTGCTGGCACAAGGTACACCACTTGAGTTTCAACGTAGGCTGGTAGCAGTACCCTCAGATTTTTCTTTTCAGCCTGTTACTGTAGCAGTCAGGCTCGGAAACGTGCAACTTTTGGATCGTCAACCCATTACACGACTCCGCCCTACGCAATGCACAAATGTTCGCCAACGACCTTATTGTCCTCGTTCGCACCAATAATTGTTCTTTTCAAGCCCTCGTACGAACAATGGAAGCCTTCAGACTGGCATCAGAAATGAAGGTCAACCGGGGCAAAATTGAAGGTTGGTGGCTAGCAGATGACACCCCTCTCCAACCAACCGATACAGCCATACCCATGTCATGGATGACGGGAGATCAAGCACTACGTTTCCTTGGTATTATGGTTAACAAGGACGGGTATGGGCAGGAATGGGTCAGAACCTAGTTGCCAGGGCAATCACCCGCTTGGCCCCATGCAAAAACGTTCAGGCCTCACTAATTGGACGAGCCCTTCTAATTAACACGGCAATCTTCTCCACACTGTGGTACATGGCATACATCTGGTCTCCCCCTGATGACGACCTCAAGACGTTAAAGAACAGGGCGAGATGTATCTATGGACAAGCGATCCCAATAGGACCACATGTATCAACAGCGTAGCCTGGAACCACATTATTAGGAAACCACCGGAGGGGGGCCTTGGGCTAATTGACACCCAAACAGGAGTCCATAGCACTGCAGATGAATTGGATTATCAACATCCTGAGTAGTCAATTCATTCCATGAACCCAGATGGCTCTAGACAGCATAAAAAACCTGGCACCTATCAACTAGCCCCCGAATATGAGAGGCCTCTTCAGGTTAATGGTGAAGGACTGGACAATCAAACCGGGCAGACCTCGCAGAAGAAGCCCAGCAAAGACTGCCACAACCCCCACCCAAACAGCTATGTCATACTGGAGCCCTACCATCAAAGCCTGGCGCAGACTGATGCGGCGCAAACATGGAACACCAGGAAACAGAGAAGAGGTCCTGAGACAACCCCTCTTCTGCAACCCCTGGATCATAGACCCTAGCGAAGCACCATGGACACTCGCACAAAGGACCGGAGATGGCTGTCCTGGGTGGAAAAAGGGGTGTGGCAGGTGAAACACATCTGGGCAGAAG